CCCCCCCCCCCCCCCCCCCCCCCCCCCCCCTCCCTCTCGCTTGGATGCCTATGCGTCTCTGCTGGACAAGAGGAGAGTGGCGGAGTGGGCGCGCTGGCCAGCTATGGCCTTGAAGAATGAGGACAGGCAGGCGGACGTGAGAATGCAGTGGCCTAGGACGAACTGCTGAGCGAAGGCCGGCGAAACGCGACGCTGCATGGCCGTCGGATGTGTGCTCCCGGAAGACGTGCTAGCGTGCCCTTGAACCTGGCGGAGCGCAAGCTGCGGCGCAAACTGAGCACATTTGGGAGAGATGGGTATGATGCGCCGCATTACGTACGTACTTGGTCGAGTACCTGAAGCCGAACACTCAGGCGAGCATTCCGGGAGACAGAGGCTCGGGGGCAGCATACTGCTTCGCTGCTCGTTCCATGTGCCACCAGGAGGGAGCTGCTGAGAAGGTAAAATTTGGCGGGGAGCAGCAGCTAGGCCTATCGAGAGCGACGGCTCGGTGAATCCGCCCGAAAGTGGAGCGTACAAACCGTTCCACGATGATCATCGTTCGTAGCTTGCGCGCTCTGAGAGCTATATCTGGTCGGTTCTGCAGACTAACGATAATTCAAATAATAGTAACAAGACAGATGAGAGGTTATGAAAAAGAAAATTGACGTTATTGCGAAAATTGTTAAATGGAGAAATTTTTTTAAAAAAGAAAACAGTTAGTGCAGCACATATGGGAACAAAATTCTGTCTTGAAAGCATAAAAAGTTATGTAAACTCGGAACAAATGTTTCAGCCTACAAATTCGTACACGTTTCTTCCCGCTGCCGCAACTAGACCTTGTCAATGCGACGGTTATAGCAAAATATGATTAAATTTCCGAAAATTTATTAAAATTGTTTATGAAGTTATGTTAGCTGAAGACAGGTGAAGTGCTGAAAGAAGTGAGAAGGGTTAATGAAGAATGCATATTAATTCAATGAGAAATGAAAAACCAAAGGACAGAGAGCGTTGCTTGCTTTGCCGCGAGAAAGTAAATCCAGGCTGGAAAGCACCAGACTTACCGGTACTATCATGCGTTTTCGAACTAAACTCGTAGATCGCTAATAACAGGGATGATCCTTGCGCTGTAGCCTAACAATTGGGCTCATATTGGCTGTGCTTTGGCCTCTTCTGTCATACAGGGAAAGGGCGTCATTTGGGATGAAGGTCTTGCTTTATAGGACCGCGTGGATCTCCGGGTACATGATTGCCAATTTATTGCATGAAGCTCGGCCGTTTTTTCGGTAAATGCTCGATTTTTGAAAAACCCAGGCTGGAACGCACTAGGGAGCCGGTGCGATCATGCGTTTGTGTACAAAACTTGAATTAATTAGGTTAACTGCATAAACGGTTGTTTCTTCACTCTACCTTTTGCGCTTAATACCGAATATCATCGTAAATTTTGCACAAAAAGAAATAAACTATTTCCGTTTAGCCGTAACTTTTTGAAAACAACCTAACTGTTCAGTGAGTAATTTTCCCGCCAAAAAATTAATTGCTGGTACACGAGGACCAGGCGTACGTGGAGGCTGAATTTGAAATCTTTAAGTTGTATTTGGACGGAGAATATTCTCCTAAAATCTGAGCCTTCCAACTTTTATGGTTCTCGAATTAGCAATTTTCCCGCCAAAATTTTCACAGGGTTGCATGTGGACGAGGAACAGAACCTCAAGGTTTCAGTTTTCTATCTTTTTTCGTTCCCGAGTTACCAATTTTCCCGCCATAACTTTTACGTCCTTGTGCGCGGGGCCTAGACTTGCGTGAGTGTTGGTACCGTGTTTCTGGGGTGGCATTTGGACGGGGAACCTACTAAACAAAGTCTTGGCGTTGCAACTTGCTTGGTTGCCGAGTTGAAATACACAGACAGACGAACACACACACACACATACACACACCACACACGAAAATACTCATACAGGCAGGATCATCGCAATATGCGTTTTTGCAATTTGCATATAGGCAAAAACGCATAAAAATGAAAAATGTAAATTTTTGAAAATGCAGGAATTTCAGTTTTTCACTGAAAAGTGAAAATGTTGCTAGAGCGGTCGTTCATCAAAAAATCCAACTGTGTAAACGAACCGAATGTTGGGAGAGGATGATGGCGGCCATCCGCTGTTAAATTCACTCGTTTCTGAGTATGCGATAAAGTTGATTATTTCTCATAACCACCTGTAGGGAATTTCACCTCCAAGCAAAATTAAGACCACACATGAAAGAAAAATATCCCAGCAAAGTTTCAGCCTCGCACCTTATCCGGTAAACGAAATAGCCACTTCGCTACTGTAAACTTGCTCCTCTACCCCCATCCCAAATGATAAAACCCTAAAAATAAAATAAAGAAAATGATGTGTCATCGAAAGATGAAAAATCATTTTCTTTATTTTCTTTTATTTTTTGCGAATGAGTCCCCCCCCTAGGCCCGTATACCCCAAAGTTTTTTGAGTTATGACCAGAGTCGTCAGCCCCCAAAATGGGAGATGTTAAGGCGAATTCTTCGCCTTGCTTCACTACCCCCCATGCCAAATGATAAAACCCTAAAAATAAAATAAAAAAAATAAAAAAAAAGGAGTCCGATCCCCTGATTCCCAAACTACCTATCCATCCGCCGTTTTTCCCACCGTAAGTGTGATCTACGATGGCCAAATCCCGTCCTTCATTCCCGTGCGGAACATTCTCAATCTCCGTTGTCGGAGATTGTGACTCATGATATTACTTGCAGGAAGAGCGGTATATAAAATCGAGAATCGAATGTTCGGGGCCCGCGTTCACCTGCTTTCATCTATACCGGCTGATACGCTTCGCTTCGTCTGTGATCTACTTCGTTTCGCCTGTGATCTACCTAATCTTCGTCCTACTCGCGTGCGCCTGTAACTAGTATCGTGTGTAATAAAACTTGACTTAATTTAGTCTGCCCCGACACCTTCCAGGGGCACTCCGATTTACTGACATACGCAGTACCTAGACTCAGGTAGCCACACTTTTTCTACAAATATCTTCGAAGTGCGCTAAGCCGTGATGCAAGTGCAAATCGGAACTCAATTTAGGATACGATTTCCCATATGGGCGACAAACATGCTGATCAGCCACGATTTTCAATCAACTTTTTAAGTTAGCACAATATCAATTTACAAATTTTGACATGATCGTTGTGCAAATGCGCGGTAGCTGAATTTGAAATCTTCAGCTCGCACATGCACAAAGAATATATCCCTGCAAAGTTTCAGCTTTGTACCTTGCCTGGTTCGCGAAGTCGTTTCCCACCAGAGAAATCTGCATATTTTTTCGAAGGTCTGTACGCATGGTCTAGGCGTGTATGAGTGATAATTTTAAAACGGGAGGATGATACACGGGGTAGCAAATTATCCCAAAATTTTAGCCTCCCAGCTTTCCTAGTTACTGAGGTGAAAGTAGGTGACAAAATTCATTCGCTTCCGAACACACACACACAGACGACCTCTCGACAATATCTGTTTTGCTCGCTGTAGCAGTGTTATAACAGCGCTAGAGCGCTACATAGCAAATACTTATAATGAACACCCGAGTGGTCCCGAAAGGGCCGGTGCACATGTACTGGACTTTTAGACAATAGTTACTATCTGGAGGTATGCAGCCCAGGATCGAAGAGTCTGGCACAGCTACTTTCAATTATGGAAGCGGTTATACTCGCACTGATTACCAGGGTGCTCTTAGTGTTTTAGTTTTTATCATTTACTGACAAAAATTAAGATGTCGAAGTTGGAAGGCATCTGGGTTGTTCTGAGCCAAAGTACCCATCTCAGCTAAGTATGTCAAGCCAACATATCATGCTCAACGATACTGTTACTACCTACTGTTCTGCCGACTATTATTTCTTGTAAATCCTAAAGTGAACAACTGTTCGTTGCTACCAGGGAAGATCGATCGATGTTCGTGACGCTCGCTGTCATCAAAACGATAGCGTTTCTTCATTTCTATTGTTGCTATGATCAGTACAAGATCGTTTGGTGGCCTTTCTACTGGCCGTCCTGACATTCATTTCTTTTCGTCATTACCATATCAGCAATTTTGCTGGCAGCAACATCACGAATAACTTCAGCCAACTTTGTGTTGCTTGTAGGTGTTGAGCACTATCACCCTGCTCGAAGCATTTCTACCCGTAGGTACAGTAAGGTACCTTACTGCCTGAGAGACCTCTTAATCTTAGCAGAGGAGGAACGATGCGTTCCAGGTGTGTATGGAGTTGCAAGCATTTTTACTCTGTCACGGCTCGACCCTGTCCAGTCAACGGGCCTCTCCCGCACCTTATGAAGGTCTCTGGATCGATTATTTGTGAAAGCGATATACTGGTTGTGTGAGCTAGGAATCCTAATTTGATGATGTCAAACCAATTTGCCTTTTTTTTTTTTAGTTCTATATAGTTTCACGCCCAAACTATTATATATGATCTGTGCTATTTTTCTGCAATAGATACAGCTGACCATAAACTTGAAGAAACTGCACATCGAGCTGCGAACAGTCCACCTTTTTCATCCACTTCGTTTTCCCTCTATGAATTTCGAGTCCCTCTACTTTTACACTTTTCTTTTCCTGTTCAACTGTTCCTGCATTCCTGCATCGTACTAGTCCAACTGTCCGGTTAACAAAAGCTATGAAGATTATGGGGTTTTGATGTGACTAGTGTGAAAATAAGGATATTTCATGCGTCGAATTTGAATTTGCGTCTATGTAGAAGTATGGGAAATTTTATTATAAAAGTGGTTTATTTAAAACGAATTCTTTCTTTCACTCATGTCAGAACTTTAGAGCCGAGCAAGCCATTAAGACTACTTTGGTACGTTCCATGTAAGAATGCTTCAAAAAGTATTGAAACAGAATAGAACCATCTCCTGTATAAGCTGTTGATTTCACCTAGATGAAATAAACAAACACATTGTCCCTACCTGAGTTTGTTGCAACTTTTCAAATCAGCTTGTATAAATACCCAAATTTTTTGTTTTTGAAGACTCTTTTTATTGTTGAATAGCCTTGCTTTCAGTGCCTTTCTTCATTAACAGGTGCAGCTTTTTCTGTTGGTTTTCTTAGATATGCTAATAGGAGACTAACTCGTGCCTCACTTTGTGTGTTCAGAGTAGAATATTCTTTTTAATTCAAAAACGCTGAAAATAAGGCCAGAGTTAAATTGTAATAAAGCGACTTATGTGAATTTGTTGGAAAAAATTGCAGAGAGATGGACAAGTCTTGAGCACTTACGACGCTTTAAAAAAAAAGTTTTTTTTTTTCAGTGAGAAGGAGAGGGAGGATAAAAAAGTATTTCAGAAATCTATGAATTAAAAAAA